CAACTATGTCGTTCTTCATTCGCCTCCACCAAAAATGTTGTTTCAAATCTTGATACATTTTGGTGGCACTTGGGTGTACAGAATATGGCGTGCTATGCACTTCCGCTAGTATCTGCTTCTTGATCCCTTCTTGATCCGGTACACAAATTCCTCTTTGGTACAGGAGAATTCCATCCTTTGAAAGGTTGAAATTTGACCTTGCATTCTCTACTATCTCCTTCCTATATCCATCCATAATTGGATCACCTTTCTGAGCTTCTCGTATCTCATCCTATAGCACAGGCTGTAGCCTCAAGGAAGCTAACTTACTAGAGATTAATTCTAGGTCTAGGAGATTAATCTCTTGTTGAAGCTGCTTGGGCAACAATTCGGTCTCCATTGGAGTCCGTAATGCTGGGTTTCTGCTCAAAGCATCTGCTACCCGATTAGCTTTACCTGGATGGTAAAGGATTTCACAATCGTAGTCCTTCACAAGTTCAAGGCATCGTCTTTGTCTCATATTAAGCTCCTTCTGCGTGAAGAAGTACTTTAGGCTCTGATGGTCCGTATAAATTTAGCATTGAACCCCATATAGGTAATGCCACCATAACTTGAGCGCAAAAACTACTGCGGCTAACTCGAGATCATGCGTTGGGTAATTATGCTCGTGATCCTTCAGTTGCCGAGATGTGTAAGCAATGACCTTGCCATTTTGCATCAACACGGCTCCTAGTCCTGTCTTTGAGGCATCACTGTAGATGTCAAATTTTTCTCCCTCTTCTGGGATCGTGAGTACTGGAGAACTAATTAATCTTCTTTTGATCTCTCTGAAACTCTGTTCACATCTGTCTGTCCATTCATACCTTCTATCTTTTCTGGTTAAGGCAGTGAGAGGAGCCGCAAGACGAGCAAATCCCTCCACAAACCTTCTGTAATACCCTGCCAATCCTAGGAAACTTCGTATTTCTGTAACACTCTTTGGAACTGGCCACTTTTCAACCGCTTCAACCTTTGCTGGATCCACGATGATTCCTTCCTTGGATACTACATGTCCGAGGAAGTGGACTTTATCCAACCAGAACTCGCACTTAGAAAACTTCGCATATAGCTGATGTTTCTTCAACGTGTGTAGTGCGATCCTCAAATGTTCTGCGTGCTCCTGTGGATCTCGTGAGTATATAAGGATGTCATCGATGAAAACAATAACAAACTTATCTAAATACTCTCTGAAGACTCTGTTCATAAGGTCCATAAACACTGCTGGGGCATTTGTAAGTCCAAACGGCATCACTGAGAATTCGTAATGTCCATACCGAGTTCTAAATGTCGTTCTGAAAATGTCTCTTCTCTAATCTTGAGCTGATGATACCCCGATCGAAGGTCTATCTTCGAAAACGTGGTAGCTCCCTTCAACAGGTCGAACAAGTCATCGATTCGTGGCAATGGGTACTTGTTCTTGATGGTGACTTTGTTGAGCTCTCTATAATCTATGCACATCCGAGCGTGCCATCCTTCTTTTTGACAAAGAGGACCGGAGCTCCCTATGGCGAGAAACTCGGTCTGATGAAGCCTTTGTCTAACATCTCTTGGAGTTGAACCCGTAACTCTTTTAGTTCCACTGGAGCCATCCTGTATGGTGCTTTGGATATTGGTGCAGTGCCAGGGAGAAGCTCTATCTCAAAAGCTATTTCCTGATCTGGAGGAAGTCCGGGTAGTTCCTCTGGAAAAACATCTAGGAACTCCTTAACTATGGGAACGTCTTCTGGTTGATATTTCCCCTCCTGGTTCCTGTCCAATAAATATGCCAAATATCCAGTGCATCCGCTAGACATCAATCGTCGGGTTTCTAGGGAACTAATAAAATGTCTGGGTATCCCTGATGTAGAACCCATGTACTGAAATATCTGTTCTCCTTCTGTTTGAAAAACTACCTTTTTCCTTCTACAATCTATTGTAGCATTATACTTTCCTAGAAAATCCATTCCTAGGATCACATCGTAATCTACTAAGTTCAGTACAACTAGCTCTGCACTTAGTTCTCTTCCTGCTATCTCTACTGGTACGTGACGTAACCAGTGACTAGACAACAACACATCACCTGATGGTAGTGTTGTCTTAAAGGCTTGCCCTATCTTCTCTTGAGGATGTAGTATTCGTTTAACAAATTCTACTGATGCAAATGTATGTGTGGCCCCTAAATGAAACAATGCTCGTGCAGCGACATGGGTAACAGTAAGCTGACCTGTCACTACGTTGGACGTGCCTACCTCAGCTTCCTCCTTGGTGTATGTCATTAACTGAGCATTGGCCTGTAGAGCAGCTTCTACTCTGTTCAGTTGAGGGGTCGAGAATACCCTATACGCTTGCATGGCGTGGAATTGTGGAACTGGTGGCCTTTGTGGAGCCATTCCAGGAGATCCTGCTTTGAACGGACACTGTCTTGCATAATGTCCTTTCTGTCCACACGTATAGCATACATCCGTGCCAGCTTTACATTCTCCGGAGTGTTTCTTTCCACAGGTCAGGCAGATAGGAACACTAGGACTGGTATACTAGTCTTGCTTCTGTTAGGGGTTCCACAGATTTTGATTGCAATTCCCTTTCCTCTTGCTGGGGTTTTGCTGGTTCCCCTGTCCAGGTTTCTATCCCTGGTCGCTACGGCTTCCTTGGCTTTGCGGATTAGCACCCGGGCTCTGCTTAGTGGGTGCCTGCGCCTTTTCTCTCTGTTTCTTCTTGTCTTCCCACATCTTAGCCCGTTCCTCTCTAGATTTGGCAATGTCATGCTCCGCACGTATTGCCCGATTCACTAGATCGATTACCGTGGTTGGTGGATACTCCCCACTTTCCACAATGGTGGCTATATCTCCTCGGAGCATATTAACCATCCTCCTAACCTTCTCTTCCTCTGTTGGAACCAACTGAGGACATAGTCGTGCCAACTGATCAAATCATCGGCATGCTTCTACAACTATCTGGTCGCCCTGCTTAAAATTGTTGAACTCATTCTGCTGAGTCTTCAGGGCTTCTAAGTTGTAATACTTACGGTTAAATTCCCATAGGAATTCATCCCACAACATCTGTCTCACATTCTTTCTGGCGCACACTTATGCCCGCCACCAATAGCGGGCATCCTTCTTTAATATGAAAGCAGCGCACTGAATCTTCTCCCTGTCAGTTGGTTCCATAAACTCAAACACTGTCTGAATGGATGCTAACCATTCCTCAGCTTCAAGTGGATCTGTTGACCCATCGAACTCTGGAGGTGCCATTCTCTTAAACCTCACGTACAATGGTTCCCTTGGGACCATTTCTCGGTGCCCCATCTCACCCCTTACTGGCTCTTGGGGTTCAACCCTTGATGAATGCGTAATTTATGCACTCATTCGTTACTCCTTTAGCTAGTTTCGGCGTGTTTTTCCTCAAGTTGTTATGTGGATTTGATGACTTTCCCTTGAGTGTATAGGAAAGGTGAAATCGCTGAGTTTTGAGGCATTTTGGATCAAAAAGACAGAGAACGAGGTGATATGGCGCCTTCAGATGGCGATGCGACTCGAAAAGGAGCAAAATCGAGCAAACCTGTGCGAAGGACTAGAGAGGGATGCAATATGTCACCTCCTTTATGGAGATATGTTGCCTCCTTTAGGTGATATGTCACCTATTCTAGGGGATATGTCACTTGAGTTACCCGATTTTATTAGAAACACACGTTTTGCCCTAGTTTGGTGCGGACTTTTATGGAAAATGAGAATTGGCTTCTTGGAGGGGTGCTGGACATGGAATATAAGGAAGAGAGGCCGAAAACTGAAGGAAGAAGAGAGAAAAAGGGTTTGCAAAAGAAGAAAAACTGAATCGGAGAGGATTCGAGGGAAATTCCAGTGATTCTTCAAGAATTCCAAGCGTTCTTCATTCTCTTCTTATCTTTCTTCTTGTATTTTTCTAAGTTTTGAATATTATTTTGAGATTGTGAACCCCATGATGTGTGGCTAATTTTCTTATTTGTTAGGGTTTAGATGAATCTCTATTTGTGATTATTGTTTCGACGTTTTAATGTGCATTTAATTAAACTCTTCATTTCTTTCGTGTTCTATTTTGAATTATTGTTGCTAAATCTATGATTTGCATATTGCCATGCTTTATGAGATTTTGAATTGGACAGATTTTTATTGTGAGGATTAATACTCGAGAAGGGAACGTTCAAGCAATCAAGAAACAGATGGAACAACTTAGGTTGGTGTGAGATCGAGAGATAAACATTGCCTAGGTAACCGAAACAATTTTAGGTTGTGAAATTGAGAAGTGGAATTCCAGGAATTGTTTCTAGAGTGGAACTTAGTGAAGGTAGGGATGAATAGTCGTATAAAGATATAGGCTTGATATTACCTACACATTCTTTATGCGGCACTCGAGAGAGGGTATAAGGATATACATCACTCTAAGTTCTTGATAACGTTGAGTTAGGCTAGGCACATTACTACGGAGAAACATAATCACAATAGAGTGAAGTCAAGACCCTAGCTTTTTTATCATATTGATTTTCCGTTCTAATTTCAGCACGTATTATTAATTACTGTCATCTTTCCTTTTGATTTAGTTTTCCTTTATTTTAGTTTTTCTTTGAGTTTATCACATCCAAATTTGATCGCTTAGATAAAGTTAAGATATGATATTCACAATAGTTAGTTTATATTCTTAACGTTAATCCTCGTGGGACGATATCGGTCTTCGGACCACTTTATTACTTGTACGACTTGTGCACTTGCAGGCGTAGTCAAATTATATTGCATCAAGTTTTTGGCGCCGTTGCTGAGGATTGAACAGCTAAGAATTAGACTACTATAGTGAAGAAATATCTTGTTTTAAACTAAGTGTTTTTTCTATTTGTATTTAATTATCTATTTTTCTTTGGTTGTTTTCGTAGGTGCATGCAAAAAGCATGTGGCTCGGAACTCTTGCCTTTGGATTCAGAAATCGAACAAACTATTTGAGCTCTAAGGAAAGAACGATGAGCTAGGGCTAAAGACATGGCCGAGGAACAAAACCAAGCAGACAAGCAACGGACGTTGCAAGATTATTTCAAGCCCATGGTGAACGAGAATTATTCGGGCATCCAACGTCAACAAGTCAATGCCAACAACTTCGAGCTCAAGACGGCCCTGGTCAACATGGTCCAGCAGAACCAATATGGAGGCTTGCCGCACGAGGATCCCAATATCCATTTGGCCACTTTTCTGGAGATTTGTGACACAGTGAAAATTAATGGAGTGAGAGCCGAGATCATCCGTTTGAAACTCTTCCCATTCTCCTTGCGAGATCGGTCTCGGTCATGGCTTCAATCTTTACCATCAGGGAGTGTAGCCACATGGGAGGACATGGCCCAAACGTTCTGCATCAAATTCTTCCTGCCCTCCAAGACGTCTCAACTGAGGGCCGAGATTACTCAATTTCAGCAGTTTGAGTATGAACAATTATATGAGGCGTGGGAACGGTTTAAAGAGATGCTCCGTAAGTGCCCTCAACACGGTATTGAGGATTGGTTCCAAGTTCAACTTTTCTACAATGGGCTTACTGGGAAAACTAAGGCCCATATTGATGCAGTGGCCGGTGGAACCATCTTGTCAAAGACACCCGGGGATGCACTCAATCTCTTTGAGGACATGGCAATGAATAGTTGTCAATGGAAAAACGAGCAGTCCACTGTAAAGAGAGTGGCAGGAATTTATGATGTGGATCAAACGACGTCTCTCATGGCTCAAATGGCACTCTTGACTAATCAAATCCAGGGACTTACCGCAGCCAATGCTAATGGTAATCAAGAAGCTGTAAAGATGGCACAAGCTTCGAGCTCAAGTGATTCATATGATGAACAATGTCACTTCCTCAACCGTAGCTACAATTTTAGGCCCAACAACAACTTACCGACATACTATCATCCCGGGCTCCGCAACCATGAGAATTTATCTTATGCCAACAACCGGAATGTTTTACAACCAACCCTGGAGTCGAGTAAACTGGAAATGGAAAAGCATTCCTCATCACTTGAAGAGCTTTTGAAGACGTATATTGTGGACTCTAAGGCTCATCTTGATCAACATGACACTCGTCTCAACAACATTGAAACTCACTGCACCAATTTGGGAGGCACGATGAAGGCACTAGAAACACAAGTTGGCCAATTGGCTAATGTTATAAAAGGGCAATCATCATGGTCTTTCCCGAGCGACACCGAGAAGAACCTAAAGGAGTGCAAGGCCATCATATTGAGGAGTGGCAAAGAGCTTGAAGGCCTGAGTGTTCAAAAAGCCATGGTTGATGATGAGCTTACCAAGAGCAATGACAACGGTAAGGATAAGTCAATAGAGGAAAACCTAAAGGCCAAGAAGGAAACACCGGTAGTTAGACCAGGTTCGATCACTTTTCTGGATAATCCACCTCGTATCACTCCCCCATTGCCATTCCCTCAACGGTTCCAGAAGAAGGCGCTTGACGAGCAATTTGAGAAATTTCTCAATATCTTCAAGAGGATCCACATCAACATCCCTTTCGTGGATGCTCTCAAGCAAATGCCAAACTATGCCAAATTTATGAAAGAGGTTATGTCCAAGAAGCGCAAACTCGAGGACTCTGAGACAGGGAAGCTTACAGAAGAATGTAGCGCTATCATAAAGAGACAACTACCGGAGAAATTGAAGGATCCGGGAAGTTTTACCATCCCATGTACAATTGGCAAGTCAACTTTTGAGAAAGCTCTTTGCGACCTAGGAGCTAGCATAAATCTCATGCCTTTGTCAGTGTTTCGAAAACTTGGGCCTGGAGAGGTCACCCCTACAACCATCTCCTTGCAAATGGCGGATAGGTCCATTACCTACCCATGGGGAATCATTGAAGACATATTGGTAAAGGTGGATAAGTTCATCCTCCCGGTTGATTTTGTAGTTTTGGACATGGAAGAAGATCAGGAAACCCCCATTATCCTTGGAAGGCCTTTCCTAGCTACCAGAAGGGATTTAATAGATGTGCACAGTGGGAACTTGACTCTAAGGGTCAATGAGGAGAAAGCCATCTTCAACATCTTAAATCCCAAGAGGTCTCCGCAAGAAAAGCCGACATGCAACCGAGTGGAGGAATTGAAATCTTGTATCAAGGAGTTCACTCAAGAAGTTATGCCGAAAGATTCTTTGGGGAATGGTCCTACCAATTCCCTAACCATAAAAAAATTGAGCAATGACATTGTCCCAAGAAAGATGATGCGGGGGAGTATATTGTTAAGAGGGCTGAAGCCATTGCCACCCCGATGAACAATGAAATGGTGGTGGCCAAGAAGAAAGCCAAGAAGAAGCACGACTAGCGAACCTCGTGGCAAGATCTCACTCCAGGCTAACGCGTCCTTCTTTTCAACTCTCAGTTGAAGCTCTCCCCTAAAAAAGTGGAGTCAAGATTATCTGGAACATTTAAGATCAAGCAAGTGTTTTCATTCTGTACCATCAAGCTAGAACTAGGAGGATGAAGTCGTGTTCATGTCCAGCTAGAGACGTTAAATCAAGCGCTTCGTGGGAGGCAACCCACATATGATTTTTTGTTGATTTTGTGTCAAATGGGTTTCATTGTAAAAAAAAAACAAAAAAAAACAAAAAAAAAGAAAGAAAAAAGCAAATCAGGAAAGGGAGACAAAATGACAGGCGATATGTCGCCTATCAATAGGCGATATGTCGCCTGAAGGATTTTGACAGCCATATTAGTCTCCGGGAACCTCAGATGGCAACCCCGACGGTGGAATTGATGATGCTGGATGAGGTATGGCCGATAACACTTAGACCGGCCGTGAGGTATTGTTTTTCTTTCCTTTGCCCTTTGAGTTTTAATGCCGAACAGTGGGGACACCGTTCCTTTTAAGTTTGGGGGGGAATATCATTTTCTTTTCTTTTCTTATCATCTCTACCTATTGATGTTCTTTTTGTAAGGTAGTTAGATTTCAATTTATTTTGATATTTGTACCGAACTGAGTGTTGTATTACATATGACTTTGGGCTTCGATGATGACTTCATGCTAAGCCCTCTTCTTTCATTCAGTATGTGTCTCTATATCTTTGACTGTGTGCTTGATCTATCATGCTTGCTTTTAATGTTGTTATCTCTATTTCTGAGCACATGTCTATCTACCTTTCCTTATTCGATGTGTGGCTTTGTGTGCAATTTTGAGACTTTTTATCGCAATGAGAACGCTAGAACTTACCCGAAGGACTTGTCAAGGCAAAATCCTAGGTCTTTGTTGTGTTGATACGATAGAGGCCCTCTTTGGACCGTTTGAGCCAAAAAGCTATCCCGAGCAACATATTATCCATAGAGTCCCTCTTTGAGCTGAAAAAAAAAGAAAAAAAACCAGTATTCATTTGTTTTACTGCCTGATAACCCGAGCCTTGCAATGTATCAAACATTACCTTTACCCACTCACATTGGCATCACACGTGACCCTTTCACCGAGCGTCGAACACCTGGCCAGCGAGAGTCGTTAAGTGAGGAGTTTTCTGAGATCGTCCTTAAACCTTTATATTCATCCCTCGCCATTCTAAATGTGAATTTGACTTTGTGTTCCAAAAAAAACAAAAAAAACAAAAAACAAAAAACAAAAAAAAACAAAAGAAAAAAAAAAGAATTCATGTTTGGGGATCGATCATAGTGGGGGATAGTGTTTATGGACGTTACATTCGAAGGTGAAGAGGCGAATCTAGAAGTAAAGGATATTGGTTTCGGTTCGGTGAATAGAGGAGTCTATTATTGCCACCGTGCTTGTCTAGGGTGAGTCTGCTTTTCTTTTTCCGATTCTCATCTATCCTTCACCCCAGCCTAACGTTACAAGCCGAGTAAAGTCTTCTTGATCTCCATGGCATTTGACCTACATTAGTGGAGATGAGTCAGACGAGTGAGCCTATGGTCATTCTGTTTTAATGTTTATCTTGCGATATGTCTTGATACACATGAGTCACATTTGTGTTTAGGTCTTGTAGAGATGATTTGCACACACTTACACGGAGATGATAGTGTTAGAAGTTGAGTATTGATGGGTTGAAATTCTAGTCCTTTTCCAGATTCACATGTTGGGTGGGTGCAGAGGTGTTTGGTAACTTGAGATTATATGCCTGAGCTCTATGTTTACACTCTCAGTCGGTTCATTTCTATTTCTTTTGTTTTGTTTTTAGTTTGTTATTTTAGGTTGTGTCATTTTGTGTTCTTTTGTCCATTTCCCTTTGTGTATTTTGTTTTATATTAGGTTTTCTGCTTGAGGACAAGCAGCCGTTCAATTTTGGGGGTGTGATGAGTGCGTAATTTATGCACTCATTCCCTTGGGACCATTTCTCGGTGCCCCATCTCACCCCTTACTGGCTTTTGGGGTTCAACCCTCTCTGCGGGTTGCTCAGGTTGGGCGGCTTGTGCTGGCACCGCCTGCGGAGGGGGTGCTCCTCCAACCTGCTGACCCTGAATCAACTGGGTAAGCAATTCTCATAACTGTCTACTTTCCCCAGCCTGGGCTGCTATTTGCCCCCTCAGACCTGCTACTTCTTAAGCTAGGTCTGGTGCTGGAGGATTCTGTTTTGCTTGTGTTCTCTTTGGACGTGTACGAACCATGTTGCTGTGTCTATATCAACTAAAAGAGCAACATAGTTTGTTTAAGTGCAAAAAGAACTGCTTCAAGAGTTCCTTGACTGGCAATAGTTTAAACTATCATTCATTCTCATAGCAACTAGCAAAACATACATTCTATATGTTCTCCTATTATGCATGCCCCATATCATGCATATCACATCATATACAAATCATCACAAAAGTAAAGGTTTTTTTTAAGCCTTTCATTCAAATCTATTATGTATGTCCCATTTCATACATATCACATCATACATAAAACATCGTTAGTCTAAGTTTCTCAATACTATTTACATAACCTTGCGTCATATTCAAATAAATAAAACACTAAGTCCTAACTTAATCCTCATCATCTAAGTGTTCCTCAAGATCCTCTTCCGGATCCTCCTCGGGGTCTACTTCTGAATCCTCCTCGGGATCCGACTGAGGGTTACCACTAGCTTCCTCACCAACGGTCCCAACGTAGGTCCATCTTCACCGAAAGGCCATAGGCTCGTCCGCTGCCTCTATTTCGGGTCTCGGTCGTTGTCGAGAGGTAGTGACTTCCACATCATGTCTCCTGATACGGGTATTGGAAAACAGGAAGTCTCGCATAACCGCCACTAGCCTTGTCCTCTCCTCTAGCATTTGGTGCTCATAATGCTTCGCCTCGACAATAAACTGTGTGAGGGTCTGATCCATTCGCGGAACTAGCCGACGCTGTACTCTTCCGTCAGACCTCTCCATAGGATCTGACACCGCTCCTCCTCACTTAGATTGAAAATCTGATTCAGAGCTAGTACCTCTGTTAAGACTCTCGCTATATAGGCTACAACGGCCTCATCCGATCTCATACTCGCCCTCTCGGCTTGTATGATAAACTTTCGAGCTTAGGTGTAGGTCACGGCTACACTCACCTGGCTCTGTGTCTCTCCACTATGCTGTGGTGCCGACTCTGATGGCATGACCTGGGGAAGAAAATGATGCTTCAACATGTGGCAAAACTCTTCCCATTGCATCTCTGCTATTTCATCGTCATCCAACGCTTGCCAAAATATTAGGGCATTGCCCTCTAACAAACTCGCTGCGAGCATAATCCACTCCTCTCGAGCTATGTCACAGGCTCGCATCACGTACTTGACACGGTGCAGCCAATCCCTAATTCTGGTGGGATGTGAAAGCCCATCAAAGGAAGGTAGATTACAGGTGTAGAACCTGGCTGCGGCACGACCTGTAGTCAAAACAACTCTCCTTGCTCAGTGTGCAGCCTCAGCCGCCATGGGCTCTAGAGCCCTTAACTCCCGATCCACTGGTGGATGACTATATCTAGAAGGAGTGGGTACCGACCTCTCTGTTTGTCAGAACCGTGAGGTTAGAAACGTTCTTACCCGTCCCCACAACATACTCTCTTGTGGTGTGGGTACTAACCGGGATGATGGATATGATCGATCCATTGGTACCTGTTCTGTCTTGCCAAAAGAAATAAGCAATACTCAGTTTTAGTTCATAAACTAATTTACCTAGACTGTGCGGAAGCATAAGTGTGGGACTTGCCATGGCAGGAGTATTAACGCCGCTCTGATACCAACCCTCACGGCACGGTCGCCACTCCTTATACTACTACTAATAGGCTAAGTTATAGTCTAATCCATTATTTGTTGTTAGACTATTGTCTCTTTAATTTACGTTCATATGCGGGTAAATTTTTTTTTTTTTTTATTTTAACCCTTGGGTTTTTAACATGTTATGTGGTTACACTAATAACATATCTTGCTATTACTTTAAGGATTCGGATATCAAACTAGTTCCTGAAAACTTGTCTTAACTTATTACAGTCCGTTGTTCTTTACTAAGACAATGGTTGTAATATCTTCTTCTTAGAACTGAACATACATACTAGTATTCTATATTACATTAATCTGCAACGGAAAATTGTTTTCTAAGCGAGCGTAGTAGAGACCACTCCCGTGTACACATGACATTTCCGCCACCCTTGCCTCCGCCTGTCCATCAAGCAAACCAATATATGACTCGCTGCTTACCTGTGTTACCTGCACACGAGTAAACTGATGAGCTAACGCTCAGCAAGTATAAACATGCATACATCATAAACTAATAAAAATTACATTAAAACTTATGATGCAAATATGCTCGTGTGAAACATGCTTTAAACTGCTTTTTGTCTTTCTATTCTTACTTCTATGGCCTGGGCCCCTGCTTACTGTCTGGTCTAGTCGGAATCTCTACACTTTGAGATTTTCCTCCCTTGCGGAGGCCGATGACCCGTCAGTCTTTTACCTTATTGGCCATTTCTTACTGTCTGGTCTAGTCAGAATCTCTACTCTGTGAGATTTTCCTCCCTTGCTAATGCCGAGGACCCGTCAATCTTTTTCTCTACTGAATGATATGCAACGTTTCTCTACGTGCACATGCTAACATAAAATGCATAATACTTCTTGCATACTTTAATTGTGCATAAGGGTAACCATATGTCGCCCTTATGCAATCTAGAGCACTAAGCCATCCAAACACGTATAATCACATATAATCACATATAATCACATAGACTTAGGAACAAATGTAAATTCATAGTTCTAAGTCTAACTACAGCTTACTCGAGTCTAGACAAACATAAATGTCTATACTTACCGTTAATCCGCTAGGATTCCCGCTTGCTGGA